CGCTGGCCGGAATCGGGCACGATGAGGCCGCTGTCTCCGGGGGCTCTGTGGTCGGGGTCGAACCGGCCCTCTCCGCACAGCGCAGCGTCGCCAACGCCTCGGCCACCGCCATAGCACACGCGTGTACACTCATGGTCACACGCACCCAGTACCACGGACTTCTGCTCCTGAAGGAAGCAGCTCCGGCTCCAGCTCCACACTCGAGTCCCCGCGGGAGACTGCTTGCAGGCATTGAGCCTAGGTCGCTCCTGCCTAGCGAAGGAATTAAGTCATGCAGCAAACGCTAGCTCAGTGTCTTCCCTAAGGAGAGAAGCCACAGTCCTACTGGCAGGAGTGCGGCACCCCCGGGGAGGCGCACAGAGACCCGGAGACAGCGCGGGGTCCGTGGCAAACCAGGCAGCCGGGGAGGTGGCCCTGGAGGGAGACCGGGCCTGCACGGGAAGCCAGGGAGGGAGCAGGGCCTTGAAGGGTCAGACAGAGACAGCGGTGCTGGAAGGAGGTGGACAGGAGACAGGACACCGCAGATAGGTGTCTGCCAGCACCCTGGGCTCGGGGGGGTTACCAGAAGGAGGGTGGGTGTGAGGCCTTGCATGTGCTGGGAAGCAGAATCTGGATGGGAGCCATGAAGTTGGGGCTGCAGTAGTTCACACAGGAGCTTGCGAGGTCTGGATAGCGGTGTGAGGCACCTGGAGAAGGTGTGCACGTGAGGAGTGCAGCCTGCTTCCCACACGGAGCAAAGCCGGAAAAGCGGGAGGGTGGGGTTTTCCTCAGAACTGAACCTACTGCCAGGGCTGTGTCCAGGACGCAGTTGTCTGGAGTTCGAGACACGACCCAGCCTCATGCCGAGAAGAGGGGACTCAGGTCATAGCGCCTATGGGGACCCTGCAACCGGAAGGCTGTTGGAGTTTGTTGGGCTGCACCCGAGCGGCCGCTGGAGGGCGCCGGAGCCCACACACGCCTTCCCTTTAAGCCGGGCCGGAAGTCGGAGGGCGAGAAGCCCGCCCGTTCCTTTAAGGGGGCGGAGTCTCGGGCGGCGGCAACTTCGAACCGACGCGGGTTTATGGGTAGCGGACTGGCCCCGCGTCTCCATGGTAATGCGCGCCCCGCCGGGCGGAGGCTGCGGGACAGAGACCTCTGAGTGGCGGGCGGCTCGGACGGGGGGTGTCCCCCGGTTTGGGGTTCGGGCCTCGGGGTGCGGGACGCCAGACGCGGGAGGCCGAGGCAAGAGGGTCGCAGCGAGCTCCGGGCCAGCCTACGCTGGGCAGCCAGATCCTGTCTCAAAAAACCAGAACAAGGAAGAGGAAACGCACACCGTCAAGATGAAGCGCGCTGAAAAAGAACTATGTTAGTGAAAGTAGCAAAAACAGAAGAGCACACCCAAAACAAGTCGAGACTGTGTAAAGACGAGTCTGTGTGGAAGATTTTATGTTTGAGAGGTCAAATTCTGTAGTAATAACAGTGTCTGGCTGTGTAGTTCAGGCTGGCCTTGAACTCACTTTGTGCCCCAGGCTATGTGTCTGGGATTCTCCTGCCTCAGTCTCACCAGTGCTGGGATTATAGGTGGTCGGCACCATGCCTGGCTGCTTTTTCTTTTGTTGTGGTTTTTTGAGACAGGGTCTCACTATGTAGCCCAGGCTGGTCTTGAACTCACAGTGATCCTCCTGCCCCATCCTCCCAAGAGCTGGAATTGCAGGTGTGCACCACCACACCCGGCCCAGCTACTTTTTCTATTTCAGGCGTTTTTTTCTTTCTGAGTTTTGTGTTGCCTTTGTAGTAGTGTTTAAACAAAAAATCTGGGCTCAATTCTGAAAGACTTTTAAGTCATTTCAGTCTTTAACCCCATCCTGCCTCCCCCAGCACCAGCACCGTCCAGAACCCGCTCACTCTGGGTTGGCAAGAGGACCCGGCGCCCAATGCAGCCTTGATTCCACGGCCTCAGCTGCTGCTCCCTCCCAGGAACCTGGCCCGTGGACGCTGTTCTCTGTGGACGAGGAGCTCGAGGATGAGGTGAGGGGCTGGGGTCTGTGGGCTGTGGGACCTGCCTGCCTGGCCTGGGCTAGCTGGTTTGGATCCTGTCCCTGAGCTCTGAGAAACCCAGTGTTAAAATAAGCCTTCCTCCTTAAGAGCAAGTGTACAACCTGCTCAACTGCCCTACCACCTCGTCCTGAAAGAGCAGTCTCCTGTCAAACATCTGGGTCAGGCAGGGGACAGGACAGCAGCCGGCCGCGCATTCTGGAGGCCTTCAGCCTGGGATCACAGCCAACAACCCGCCTCCTGCTGACTGTTCCATAGGAAGAGGGGTGTCGTTCCTTTTCCTGCCTCTCCTCTGAAGATGAGGGTCGGGCCGGAGCCAGGTTAGAGTGGCGCTGACCCAGGCCTTGCCACTTGCCTGTTTAATCAGAATTTCTGAAGCTCGGTGTGACAGTGCTCACCTGTTACTGAAGCATTTCGGAGGCTGAGGCAGGAGGATCACCGCGAGATAAAGGTCAGCCTGGGCTACATAGTGAGACTTTGTCTCAAAAAGGAAAAAAAAAAAAAAAAAAGCCTAGAGAGCTTTTCTGATGGAAGCTGCAGGAGATCCCAGGTCAGAAGTGGTGAGAGTCCCCACCTGGCCGTGGGGCCAGCTCCTTGCCCACCTGTATCTGTGGGCACTGCGCTGAGTGGTAAAGGCCGGGCTTCTGTTTCAGTTTCCGGATGAAGGTGCCTCTCTGGCTCTCTCTTAGGATTTCTTGTCTGCCCTGGAGGATGCTGAGAACAGGCTTGCTGGGGAGCTGCCCGGACCAGCAGGACACTTGCACCCCACAGTTCCTTTGGAAGCAAGCCGCCCCCCTGCACCCCATGTGCCCAGCACTGTCGGGGACCCCCGGAGGCCACTCTTGACTTCCAGTGACTGGCGGGGTGGGCAGAGGCCAGTGTGGGCAGAGGCGGCCCCTGAGGGCCCAGGGCAGGACAAGCTGGACCAAGTCCTGGCCGACCTGGAGCTGGAGCTGGGGGCTGGGGCCGAGGACCCCACGCAGACTAAGAGAGCCCGGGTTCAGGGCCCGAGTGGGTGGAGCCAGCTGCCCCTGGATGTCCCACCCAAGCCTGCCGGGTCCTGCAGGACACCACGGACACTCCTGAGGCCCGGTGCCACCTGGGCAGCTGCCGCCCCACCAGGGCACACACCCCAACCGCGCCAGCCCACACAGCCCCCTCTGCCACTCCATGGCCCTGAGGTCTCTCTGGGGGCGCCCCCGCCATCCCGGGCACCTGCCTGTCCAGCAGTGTCACCCATCAGCACCCTGAGAGGCCCCCGCTCCTCGCTGCACATGCCCGTTGTCACCAACCACCTGGTGCAGCTGGTCACTGCCGGCGCCCAGAGCCCAGCCCGCGTCTGCAGGCGCCGCTTCCCTGGGCCTGCCGGGCTCCTGCCACAGCAGGTAAGTGCCCGCCGGCTCCGACAACTGGGGTGTCTTCCAGGGCCAGGTGGGACAGATGCCAGGGCTGGAGGGAAGCACAGAAATTGCAGGGCCTCTGGTCCTCGCCCAGCAGGCACATGGTCTTGGGCTCAGCCCCAGCCCTGTGAAGAGAGGGAGGGAGGATTTTTAGGAAATGTGGGCAGAAAGCATGCATGAAAACCCCTGGAGAGCCGGGGATTTAGCTCAGTGTTTCTTCTGCCTGCCTTGCAAGCGCAAGGACCAGAGCTCAATCCTGGTACCAAAAAAAAAAAAAAAAAAAAAAAAAAAAAAAAAAAAAAAAAAAAAAAAAAAAAAAAAAAAAAAAAAAAAAAAAAAAAAAAAAAAAAAAATCCCTGGAGGGCTGGGGCTTTAGCTCAGTGGTTCCAGCATCTGCCTCAAAAGACCCAAGTTCGATCCCCGTTACCACAAAAAAAAGAAAGAAAACCCCCAGGAGCAGCACATACAGCTGAGGGCCCTGGTGTCCATGCCGCTGAGGGGTGGTCAGGGGCCCCAGCTCAGAGTCAGGAGACAGCCAGGCCAGGGAAGCAAGTGCTGGACAGGGCTGAGCCAGGTTCAGGCACAGAGGGCACCTGTGAGCAAGGCTGGCCTGGCCACTCTGCCTGGGATCTGGCGGGTGAGTAGGAGGTGGGTGGGGTGAGCGGAGGGGCTTCCCCAGGGTAGGAGAGAGAGGGCAGCATGGTGGGGTGAGGACCCAGCAGAGGAGGCTGTGCCAAGGCATGGTGGGCCTTCATCTTGTTCTCTATTGAGTTTTTGCACTACTGATGATCTAGCCCAGGACCTTTGCACTGAGCTACATCCCCAGCCCTTCCCTTTTTGTATTTTTTATTTTGAGGCAGTCTTGCTGAACTGCTCAGTTCCCCAGATGTGACTCAAACTTGTGATCCTCCTGCCTCAGCCTCCCTAGTACTGGGATGGCAGGCGTGCACCACTGGGCCCAGCTCCTTCCACTGCATGAGGGCACTGTGGCCCATCTCCCGTGCCGTTGCCCTTTCCCAGTCTGTCTGGGTTCTGCTCTGCTGGCCCAGCTCCTGTACATCCCCACGTGTCCCCCGAGTGCTCCCTTCCTGCCCTGGGCCTTGGCTGGGCCTTGGAGCTGCAGCTGCAGGGCACCTTGTCCCCGTCATCTCCTGAGTGCCCCTTCTGCCTGCCCACAGCATGGCAAGAAGAACCCAGAAGAGATCATGGTTTCCGCACCACAGACTCCGGCCCATGGCGCTTTGGCCAAGCGCTGCTCTAAGGTGACTCGGCTTCTTGGACAGCCCGAGGTGGTGGTGTCCCTGGCCTTCCGGGAGCTGGGACCAGCGCGACACTGTTGCACTTGTACCACGGGCAGCAGGGGCAGCAGCTTTGATGCCACTCCCTGACCTGGGCCCCAGGTCTGGCTGCTGCTCCAGGTGGAGATCGTGGTGGCACGCGCCTGTCACCCTGGTACTCGGGAGTCCGAGGCAGGAGGGCTGCCATGTGAGGCCGTCCTGGGCCACATGCCAGACACTGTCTCAGAAACAGACAGGAAATGAGATCACACTGAGACCCTTCCTGTCGGGTTCCGGGGACCAGGCGGGAGGCCACTCCTCACCTGCCTCAGTGGGTCCCTTCAGGAGCATGACCCAAACTCCCCTCTGCCTTTGGTGGCCTTTCACCTGCCCCAGTTTCTCTTCTTGCATCTTCCTGTCCATTTCAGACCCAAACCCGTTCAGAGCCCACAGGTCCAAGGTGGTTCTAGGTGGGGCTAGTGGCGGGGGCAGATTGGAGGGGCACTGAGGTCAGTGCGGACTCAGGCGGGCTGGGCTGCGCCCCCGTGGTCGGAGCCCTCCCCTCCCTCACTGGCTGGTCACACTGCCCGCTCCACTCGGCCAGGCGCTCGCCACTAGTGCCCAGGCGTCAGCAGAGGAGGACGTGGGGCATAGAGCCTGGCTGGCCATGAAGGCGGCCCTGCGCCTGGATGACGGCGACCCCACCTGCTTCTTGCACACCTGCAGTGTGGCCATGGTGCTGCGGAAGGTGAGGTCCCAGCACCCCATGTCCTGGGCCCTGCCCCGCTGGTCCCCACAGGCGGCACTGTGCCTCCTTGGGTGCCCAGCTCCCTCGTGTGGTGGCAACGCTGTCCTCCCCTCAGGCCGCCCTGAGGCAGCTCCCTGGGAACAAGGTCCCCACCATGGCCGTGATGATCAAGTCCCTGACCCGGAGCACCATGGACGCCAGCGCAGTGCTGAGAGACCCCACAGGTGAGGCCCCCACGGGTGGGGAAACTGAGGCACGGCCTCGGCCCTGGGCTGACAGCCCTGTGGTGTCACAGGCGAGATGCAGGGGACGCTGCACCGGGCGCTACTGGAGGCCCGGCAGGGAGAGCTGAAGCCAGGCGCTGTGCTGCTGCTGCGGCAGGTATGGGGCCTCAGGCCACCCACCCAGCCCGTCACTGCCCGGGACCTGCCCGACACTGCCCATCCTCCTGGCCCGCAGGTGGGCGTCTTCTCACCGTCCCTCCGAAACCACTACCTCAACGTGACACCCAGCAACCTGGTCCGTGTTTACAGCCCCGACTCGGGAGACGGGGGCCTGCTCCGGCCTCCACAGCCCACCCTGGAGGTGAGGGACGAGGGGGCACTATCGCCCGGCCCACCTGTTAGTGGCTTAGCTCTTGGTCCCAGTGGCCTCTGGGCCATGTGGTCAAGCTTTGGAGACAGCAGCCTCCCGGGCTCAGGGAGGAGCCAGCGGGAGGGCTCTGTCCTGTCCCTACCGGGCGGGGCTGCCCCAGGGACGGGGGCAGCAGTCAGTAGCCCATCCCTCTCTCCCCAGCACCCAGGAGGTTCCCAGGGGAGACCCCAGCCAGATGTGGCCGCACAGCCTGGGCCAGGCCTGAGGACAAGGCAGGGGCCAGGGGCCAGGGTGGCCTTGGAGGAGGACGCTCTGGATGGTGAGGACCCCAGCCAGGAGGGCCCTCCACACACAGGCTCCCTAGTCCGACGCCTCCTTCCTGGTGCTGCTGCCCGACCCGCAGCTCAGCTCCAAGGTGTAGCTGCGACGGTGGCAGACTCGGGCACCCTGACCTGCCCAGGAAGGGGCACGCTCTTAGGTGCTGCCTGAACACATGCACTTCGTGGGGGTATCTGAGTTCTCTGCACCTGTTCTCTCAGACGAAGTGGGGCTGTCGGCCAGCAGGCGTGAGGGTCTGTGCTGCTGCTCCTTGCCTTCTGGCTGTTGGAGATCAGGTCTTGCTATGTAGCCCAGGTGGCCTCAGATTTGCAGCAACCCTCCTATCTCAGACTCCCAGCTTCAGTGCTGCTGTTAACAAGGACGGGTTCCTTTTGATCCCACACCCTACTCACTGGGCCTGGGCTGCCAGTGTCACTACCGCCAGATGGTTCTGAACACATCTGACAGCTTCCGGTCTCCCAGGGATGCTGCCCCCCGTGGCTGGGCGGTGGCACCAGGTGGAAGGACAGAGGGCCCCTCGCACCTGGGGCGGAGGCGAGGGCAGTCTCAGCCTGGGAGCTGTAGCCCCGCACTGCCGGTGCCCTAGCGCTGCCCTCCCTGTCCCGTAGACAACCTGGATGGACTTCTGAGCGAGCTCCCTGACTGAGGCAGGGGCCAGGTCCCAGGCCGGGGAAGATGCTGGCGCGGTGAGACTGGCTGGGTGCCCTGTGCTCACCCAGGCTGCTGCCCCGGACCGTCTCTTGGCTGTGCCCGGCCGGCCCCATTATCTTTCTGCCCACAGCTTGGCCCGTCCTGGAGCCACAGGGGACCCAAAGCCCACCCTGCCCACGCTGCTGCCCCGGTCCTGAAATAAAGCTGTAGCCTCTCGTGTCCTCGGCAGGTGTGGCCGGGCACAGCACGCCCCACGCTGTCTGTGTCACTTGTCTCTAGCACCTTAGGAGCCACTTCCTATCAGGGTGGCGCAGGACCTGGCTCCGCACACCACGCTCCTGTCCCTTGGCCTGAGAAGCTGTGGCACGCTTGTCACCATCCCTGACACCACACTGTGGGTCAGGTGTCAGCGCAGGACCCAGGGTGCTGTGACCTTCATGACCCTCAGAGAGGTAGCACGCGCCTGGTGGAGCTTGGGGAGGAGGCAGAGCACAGACCCCTGCCCTGTGTGCTGGGCCTGGCTCTGCACGGGGCTCTGCCTCTCCCGTGCACTCGGGGGTCCGGGCAAGGTGTGACCTGTGACCTGCTCTCATGTAGCCCCGGACAGCGGTGAGTGTGGGGTACAGAGGCCCCAGTGTCCTCGCCAGCCTTGCTTGCTCTCCCACCTGGTGAGAGGAGGCAGTGGGCAGCCCTTGGGCTGGCTGGAGCCTCCCTGCCTCAGCCTTCTGCAGCTGCCATGGCGACAGCTTGTGCTTCCTCTTCCCACAGCCCAAGCCAGGTCCAGCCTATAGCCAGCCATTGCCCACAGGCTCCACGCTGGGTCATTTTGCCACCTGTTGTCTGCCGGAGCTTGCCTGGTGGGAGGAAAGGGCTGGCAGAGCCGGGCAGCCACTGCCCACAGTGGCCAATGATTGCCTGGCGGGGGTGGGGACACTGGTCCTGGCAGACAGGCCCCCAAGGCTTTGGGGCTGTGCACCTGCAAGGCCATGTTGGCATGGTGAGGCAGGGTGGCTATGTAGGAGGCCACAGTCCTGTCCATAGCGGGCCGGGTGGGCACCAAGAATGCCAGGCCCGGAGTGGGCAGCCCGTGTGGGGCTGGGGCACAAGACCTGGGAGTGACAGTGGGGGCTGGGACGGTGTGGAGGGGCCCCTGTGCCCTCACCGCAGTCCTCCTGCAGTGTGACGGCCCAGGGCCTCCGTCCACACCTGTACCACCTCCCTGTGCCCCACAGGTGGCCTGAGGCCACCAGACACTGCGGGGCCCCCCAGAGCGGCCGCTGTGCCTGAGCTCAGCACCCACTCCCCTGCTCCCTGCAGGGCCGAGGCTGGAGGCCCTTTTTCAGCCTCCAGCCAACACTGCCAGGCTCAGCGGGCACCGGGCAGCTGTGCCCGGTGCCCACTGGCCATGGCCGGGCAGCGTCTCCCCTTCTCATCCTCCACCTGCGTACCCTCTGCCCACAGCCAAGAGTGGCTGGAGTGCGGGGACTGGCGTTGGGCGCTGCCAAAGCCACATACACCCTGCCGTGGCCTGGTCCCAGCTGTCACTGCTGTGAGCCTGCCATGCACAGTGCCCTGCTCGTGAGTGACCTGCTATAGCTGCAGGTGCTGTTCCTAGGCCGGGAGGCCACCAGCATGATCGTGGGGTGTTGTCTGCAGAGTTCGGTTCCGGAGCTCGGAGTGGGAGGGTAAGGCGTGGAATCACCAGGCAGACTCCAGGGAGGTCTCTGGAACGCTTCCGTTTTATTTAGGAAACACACGGGCTTATGTAGTTTACGTGTGGACACCATGCGGGAGGAGCATTTGATTACATGACACTTTCCTATAGGTTATGCAGATCCATACGTTAGTGGAGAACACTGGGCAATATCTTACTGACTAGACATACGGTGGGGTGATTCTTGGGTGAGGTGAAGGAGTCACGGACTAGGGGCGGAGGTGTAGCCTGTTAGACCCAGGTCGATGCACTTAGGCGAGTTAGCTCAGCCTCAGAGAGGTCTTCGAGTTTGCTCAGAAGACGGGAGCGCAGCACACCTGGCCCAGCCGGGCTTGAACTTCTCCCACAAGTCCCCCTTTTGTCTCCGACTCCAGAGCCTCGGCCAAGAGGACCGCATCTTTATGAGTCTGTCTATATCTCTTTTGAGCCAGGTGCCTAATTTTTAAGATTAACAATAACAAAATGATTCCCAAAATGGTTAACACATAGGGTGAGGAATGAATCAGACCTTTCGCCCAAGTACTTAACTGTCCATTATCAAGAGTAACTGCATCTAATGCCAGGGCATTATTAATTTGTACAATGATATGAGTCAATTTTGACATGTTTACGAAATGAGGGCTCCCAAGTTTTCTAGATATAATTTGACAAATTTTTGTAAGCATCACAACTTTCACAAGGATATAGAGAAACAGATATCTTGGGAAGTTGGCATGACGTCTACGAAAACCTTTGTCACGATTGTAATTCCTCCCACACCACATCCATCTGAGCCTGTAAGGACAGCACGGCTGTGCGGACATCAAGAAGTGTTGCCGGCTGTCCGAGAGCCGGGGAAGTGGTATGGGCCAGATTATTGACACCTGTAGCGGTGGCAACTTGGTTGCAGAGCGTAGCTGCAGCTGTGGCGGCCGTGGATCCTGAAGCAACAGTGGATGTTACAATGGCAGCGGCGGCTGAAATGCCTAAGGTGGAGCAGCGCATCGAGGGGGTGTTGCTGCCTTTCCATTCCTCAGCTAAATTAACTGGGATCCAAACTGCTGGTGGATTCCTGCCGGTAGAAATACACCAGGTAGAATGAAGGGGAAACACGAGGGGTTGATACAGGGAGTGACACGTACTCTACTCGCGCATTGTCACCCAGGCTAGGATTGGCCAGAATAAAAAAGGGGGATGGGAGGCGGGCAGCAAAGGGGAGACCCAGTGTAGATGGGTGCTGCAGGAGCGTGAGGGGAGATCGGACCCTCCTGGAATAGAGTGCATTATCCTTGCTGACCGGAGGAAGAGGAGCGGCCTGCGTTGAGTTGGCAGTGAGTGCCGCGCACAGTTCACACCACCAGCGCAGGGCCCGGAACGGGTCTGGGTCTGCGCCTGGAGTTCCGGGGGGAGCCAGGTTTGTTGTTTGTCCTACGGGTGCCCTAAGGGTGCCCCGGGTAACCAGCGGATGATTACGAGGTCTCGTCACTTCGGTGCTTGGGACGAGGCCTTCATCTAGGTGGAGGATTTTCTTTTTCAGCGGTGTACGGCTTGACATTTCTTGCTGGGATCCAGGTGGGCTGTTCGGCTTCCTGTGGAAAGACACAAGCGAACCCTCAGCCCACCGTGAGCCGTGGGTTGGGTTCTTTCCTTGCATTTGAGAGGCTCCTTCCACACAACTAGGCAGTAGCTCCCACAGCTTGTAATGGCCGCCAATGTTTTATGACCAGACTTTGTCCAAATGTATAATAGGTAAGGAAATTAAGTGTGAGATCTTATCCTGAGGTGGGGCAGCCATATCAACTTGATGTTGTCTTATAAGCATTTGTTTAAATGTTTTATGAAACCTCTTGACAATCCCCTGCCCTTGTGGGTTATGGGGGATACCTGGAACAAGCTGAACATTGCATTTCTGCATGAACTCTGAAAAGGCTTTGGTCTGGTGGTCCCGTTATCTGTTTTTATCTTATGGGGGATGCCCACTGTACAAAAGCACCAAGAAGATGGCCAATAACATTTTTTGTCTTCTCTCCCGTTGCTGCGGCGGCACATGCAAGGCCAGAGAAGGTATCTACACTAACATGGACATCTTTGAGCTTCCAAAGGAGGCGCCATGAGTGACGTCCATCTGCCACAAGGCATTGGGCTTTAAACCTCTAGCGTTTACCCCCTGGAGTTGGAATGGGCCAACTGGCAATAAGGGTTCACAAGTCGCACAAGCACAGACGACTTGTTTGCTCTGTGTTTTTTGTTTTTTGTTTTTTTTAGACAGGGCCTCACTACATAGTTGAAACTGATCTGGAACTCACTATGTAGCTCAGGCTGGACTCGAACTCACAGTGATCCTCCTGCCTCAGCCTCCTGAGTGCTGGGATTACAGGTGTGCACCAGCACGCCTGGCTTGCTCCATTCTTTGGTAAGTGAAGGAAACATCTGAGCAACTCTATTTAATTGCACATTGTACAACGGAAGAAGAAAGAGCTGTTACCGCCATATTTATCATCCTGTTTCTTAATGTGAATGGCCCCGGGAGGCCTGAAGGAGAGCAGATATATTGTATATACAGAGGGTATTGCCGCTGTTCTAAGAGCTATTGGGCCTTAGTTATGAGGGCGTCCAGAGGATTATCGGGGAGCACCTTAAGCACTGCGTAGGGTAGGGCTGGCAGAAGTGCGGCACAATATGCACGATCTGTAAACAAATTTAAGGGTATGGACCAGAGGTTCCAGGGCCAGGATGATGGCTGCCAGTTCCTTTACCTGTGGGGACCCAAATGGGGTCTCATGAATTTTCAAAAATGGCTTGGCTTTGTCTAAAGGGTCGATGACCACAAATCCATATTTATTTGGGCTCCCATCTGTAAAAACAATTGGGGCTTCAGGTGTGGCTCGTTTAGTAATAGGATTTTTCCAATAGAAGGGGAAGTTTATGCAATCCTTGCATTACCTTATGTGGTGGGTAACGATTATCAATTTGCCCAGCAAAAGCAACCATGGCCATCGCAAAATCTGTACTGGAATTCAGCAAATGGGGGATGTTTCCTAATTCAAGTGCTAACACCAATTTTTTGGGTTCTCTCCCTAATACCTCTAGGGCCTTTTTCCTGATCTTTATAATCGTTGTACAGAGGCCCCCAGCAAAGTCCGTGATTCTCTGATGACTCCGTGCTCTGGGTCCCTGGGACTGCCCCAGGCAGGCCATGGGTGCCTTCAGGTTAGAATGAAAGGTTAACCCCGTTACTGATTGTGTGGAGTCCCACCTGGCAAGGGTAGCATGTGGGAGTTGCTCGTTTACTAATTTTAAGGCTTGCATAGCAGACGGGGTGAAAAATCTATCAGGTTGGGGGCACAATCACACTTGAGTAATTGAAAGAGGGGGTCAAGTGAGTGAGTGGGGATCTTAAACCAAGGGCAAATCCAATTCATTTGGCCCAACATCTGTTGTAACTCGGCTAGAGAAAGGCATTGAGGTATGTCTGTTGGTGGGGTTTTGGGAGAGGTCTTTGTTACCTCAATTGTAACCCCCAGAAACAACATCGGGCATTTTCTTTGAATCTTGTCAGGATGCACCTTGAACCCTGCCAACTTCAGGGCTTGTAAAACCTGTTGTACCAAATCCTCCAGACCTGAGGAGGAACGGCTTGCTATGATATATCTTCCATATAGCCATAAAGCTGGGCTGAATCATGACCTCTGACAGGAGATAAAGCATGGGCCATGGCAATCTGACAAATAGCTGGGCTATTTTTCATCCCTTGCAGGAGAACCCGCCACTGATACCAGGCGGCAGGTCTACTGTTATTAATTATGGGCACGGTAAAGGCAAATCTCTGGCGATCGATGCGGTGAAGTGGGAGGGAGAAGAAACGCTCCTTTATAGCAATGGCGCAGTGGGAGCCCGCTGGCATTGGACATTGGAAAAGTAACTTCTTAATCTCTGACTGTTTATTTGGCATTTCTGAGACAAGGGTCTCAGCAGTGCAGATGATATTGACCTGGAGCTCACTGTGTAATCCAGACTGGGTTTATGGGATTATAGGCGTGCACCACCACGCCCAGCTCAAGGACTTTGTTAATTTTGACCTTGTGATGGGAGGAACTCGGATAGCCAAAGATCTGATCTCCCTAATA